AATGTTGCTTGTTTAGTCATACAAATATATGATTTCATGTTCAAAATAATACAGTATGTTTAACATTTTAAAGCTTTATGACTATAGCACGTAGTATAAAAGATTATAATGAATATCCCAATGTGTTTATTTCATATTCCCACTACAGATATACCAAAAATATAAAAATAGTGCAGGTGGACTTTACACTATAAAGTTTATAGTCATTATTGATTATCTGCTATATGTGATCCAATTTAATCAGTAGTCAAAGCAATTAATTGGAAGAAATACCAATTATATTAATAAAAAGTTTATAGATGGATAAACTATTTAATTATTTGTATATTGCTTGTGTATAAATAAAAAGTGTTAAGCACTAAGATAAAGGTAAAAATCTTTTTACTAATTTGATATTACTTTCAATGAATTGTTTTTAATACTTATTGCATTAGATAATTAATATAAGATATGAAGTCCTACTGTACTAAATTTATTTGCACTATTTGTACTACATTTTTATATTCACTATCAATAAGACCAATAATTAAGTTTGTTTTATAACCTTGTTAATCTTGTAAATTAGTTAAAATAAAACTACTACCATATAAATGTTAATTTATAAAATCGGTTTTAAAAATATAGGTTTTTAATGAAAATAAAATGAAAATTACTCCTACTATAAAAAACTATGTGTTAATATTTTAATTATTCGTTAATTTAAACATTTATGACAATTGATGAATTGAGACATGTCAATAAAAAATAACGATTTAATTTAACATAGAAATTGGAATATTTTTTATTTACTTTATTATTGTTAATGAATTTAAAGATATTACATAACAATGGAATATTATCATTAATAATACTTGTTAAATATATAAATCAAAACTTTTTAATTATAATAAATTTCAATAATTTGAATCAAAATTAATATTGCCACAAATATATAGATTTAGAAATAATTAAAGAGGTTTTAAAAATAATATTTAATTACTTAAAGTTATTTCCAAAAAAATATTTAATTTCCAAACAAATAATTCCCATAAACTGTATTGAGTATATAGAATATTTGAATTAATTAGGGGATAAAGTATTATAAGCTCCCATATTATAGACAACTCCTCCGTCGACCACCAGATTAGCGCCGGTTATGAATGAGGCATCACTTGAGGCCAGGAATGCCACGGCTTTAGCGATATCTAATGGTTGTCCCAATCGCTTGAGTGGTGTTATTTGCTTTGCTTTTTCGTATAGGGGATCAACCTTTTCGGTAACTTGTATCGCTCCAGGGCTATTTTATATACATAAATTTAATTAAGAAAGTTAATAATAAATAACAATAGAAAATAGTAAATTACTTAATAGTGTTGACACGAATGCCTTTGGATCCCAATTCAAGGGCCAGTACTCGAGTCAACATATCTAAGCCGGCCTTTGCCGGTCCGTACGCCAGGTTGAATGTAAGCTATTATAGAAATTTCAATGGTTATAATTATTATACATAACATAATTAAGTAGCAATTATACCGGTTCAATGGCACCGACACTCGAGATATCAATGATAGTGCCGTTAGTTTTCTCCAAATGTGGAACCGATTCGTGGATTAGTTCGACGACTGCTCTCAAATTAATACTGAAAATCTGATCCCAGACTTGCATTAAGTCTTTTTGGGTGATGTTTGTCGTCGGATATATACCGGCGTTATTAACCAAAACATCTAACTTTCCAAATGTGTTAATAGTATTTGTGATCAAAGTATTGATGACTTCAGTTTTGGTGAGATCTCCGACCACTTCTAATGGCTGTTAAATATAAATTTAATTGAATTTAAAACTGTGTTAACAATAAATGCTTTTTAAAATTATTTGAACAAACCTTCAGTTTCTTTGGCGACAATTCCTGAACCTCTTTTGCAACTCTCTGGACATCCGCTTCTTTCCTACCGGTGACCACAACATTGGCCCCTAATATAGAGAATAGTTTAGTGATCCCCTCTCCGATTCCAGAACTACTTCCGGTCACCAAAACTACTTTTCCCG